GGCGGCGGTCAGTCCGTGGCTCGCCATTGCGCTCCTGTCGAGTACCGAAAACTCTGTGCTCTGCAACCTTCGGAGTTTCTGTACACACATGTTAATTATTTCTGCTAGTATACCAAATTACAAACCTGTGTTATAATTGCCTCATTCCAATATAATTATAGTGTCACTATTTTTTTTGTTTAATATAGGTAACTTATTTGGATCAACAAGTACCTGAAATAAGGATATTCTTTGTTTTGCAATAAACTCTATAAATTGAGCAGTGTTAATCTAAAGCTAAAAACGAACTTATGTGATACCTAAACATTGTTGCAAAGCTATTTCAAAGGGCTCTGCAATTGCTGCATAGACAACGTCTAAATTTAAAAGATGGTTGGTAGAAATGATCATTAGTAATTCTAATAAATATCAACGGAAACAGTTTCTGTGTATTCGGGTGGTCACTTGAGCATTTGGCACTTCAAATATAACAAAAATTACACTATTAACTTATAAACCTTTTGATGATCCTTATTAGTATGTGTTAAACCACAAGTTAAATTTAAATTATGACATTGTTCATTATTAAAAATAGCATTTAGATTTTGCAAAGAATTAATGACTGAAATAACAATGGTTTTAATTATTTTTGTTATACAATGAGTAATGTGTTTATCATATATGCCTTTCAAATGCCCTCCATATGGTCTATATCTAAAAGAAATTTTAAATATAAAATAAGATTAAGGATAATGTAACAGGTAACTACCTCTTTTCATTATTCATTTAAACAATTAGCTACAATCATGTTTTGATGATAACTGGACAGTAACTATTACTAACTTATTTCAGTACCACCACAACATAACTTAGTTTATGTGTAAATTTCATTGTGACAGCCTGCACCCTAAACGACTAAATGGATTTTGATGAATGAGGTGACATTGATTCAACTAATTCCCTGGATAGTATAACTTACATTAGCACAAAACATCAACAAAGGATGTGAGAATGGCAATTCCTAAAAACATATAAAAAAAACGACTTCAAATATCACTCGCCGATATTTCCACTTTTTATCTTAATTTCGAAATCGCATTTTCTATGTTACTGAGTATATTATCTAAATATAAATAGTCAATCGAGTTTTTTATTTTTTCAATTATGGTTATTGTACTTACAATTTCTATTATGCATGCTGTTAAGATAACAGCTTTTTTTATACTTTTTTAATATACTTATTTTCAAAAGTTAACAAGGTCATATTACTGCAACAAATATTTTTTATATTTATATTTATATATATATATATATATATGTATTATATTACATTACTTCTTTGCTTCGTTATATTACAAACAATACTTTCGGCGGTTACTTTAACTTAATAGACTTTCGATAAAGACCTACAAGAATCTTTTTTTTT